AACTTTGATATTATGTTCATGGAAAATAAAAGTATGTAAGAAAAATGTTTTCTGAGTTTGAATTGTGATGCCATTTTTATTATGTGTTTGTGTAATGTGTCTATATATATATATATATATATATTTGTTTTTCAGAAAATACTGCATTAATAGCGGTATGTACTAAAATCACAAGGCCTAGCTTTGGGGGAGTATAAGATAAAGAAAATTATGCATTATATATTCTACCTACATTTTGTTTTCATGCAAAAATATACTCAATCACTTTAAACTTCTAAATGTGTCTAATGTCAAGTAAATATGTATATTTAATTATAACAATAAGCTCATATTTTGCTCAATAAGGCAATTTTTTTTTTCATTTGTAAACACCTAAAAACCAATGGAGTCTGCTTCTGTTGTTTTTTCTTGTTTTTTTTTTCAAAGAAAATTATTGTCTTGGAGTTTTTCTAGAATTTTATTTATGTCAGTATAATTGCTTTTAAATTTTTGGATATTATTTAAAATCTTCAAACTAGATACTTTTTATTCAGTAGTTTTGTTTGAAAACTGAGTTTCCTGGCTAAAGTTTGCACAAAGTTTTATGCTTGTTACAACTTTGACTTACAATCACTATGCACTACCTTTTCTTCTATGGTAATTTTTGTGATTTATTTATTTTGCTAATGCTCAAAGTTTTAACACTTCAGATATGACAAACTTTAATTGTGTAAACATATAATTAATCATTTTTAACTAAGTTTAAAAAATACACTAAATAAACGTATAGTACTAAAGGAGGACTTTTGTTCCATGGGTGTGGCATTGGCATAAAGAAATGCATAAGAAGAACGATATATTTTAGCCAACCTTATTTAGAAATCAGTGCACTTTGCATAAGACATGGCATACTTATTCAAAAAACATTAGTCATTAATATTTATTTCACATTATTTTTCATACTTAAAGAAAAATGTAATTTCTTTTAAAAATGATATACAGTGAAGTAAATATGAAGTCCTGATACATATTATGTGAAATCAGTTTTTTTTAAATGAAACCATGAAGGAACTTCAAAGGGGGTGCTTAAATTTTTACAATAAACTTTTTCTTTCTTTTATTATTATTGTTATTCAAAAAATTTGTTCCAAATAATACAGTAAAACATTCAGGTAAATGTTTGATTAATTACTTTAAAAGTTCAGCAAGATTTCTTTTTGTGTGTGTGAAATAATGTTCCATAATAAAATGACTAAAATTAACAACAAGAAATATATAAATGTAGAAGATATCAAATCAATGTACAATATAATCTAAAAATGTCTACTTTATTCATCACAAAATTAACAGATGTCTCTATTCTTGTGCCTAGTATGTATACAAAACCTTTCTTGCTAGGCTGCATTTGCTAATAATTAATATCCAGTTTTGTAAATTAAACTTTAAAACATTGATTTGGTGTCTCAGTTACAAACATTTGATGTCTGTATACAACAATATACTTCAGAAATGTTGTATTACTGCACATGTAATATCGCTAGTCTAGACAAATTACAATTAAAGCAGCCAAGGGGGTCACACGAGTTTATCTTTGAGATTTTCTGTGTACAACAACAGCTGACTGCATGGCAAGTGCCATGCCAAGTAATAACAGGATTTGAATTTAAAAGTATTTATTTAAGAAACAAAAACCCAGTAGTGGGCTCAAAACAGTGAGGTGATTATCACAACATACTTGATAGAGGCTCCAATAACCCTCGTGAAACTCCTTTTAGAGGCACTTTTAAATGTTAGTGTGATGGCACCTATCAAATGTGTAGGACTGATTTATGTAGTTTACCAGTTTTAGCTTTGTGTAGTTTTTCTAAGGTCATTTCACATTTTACAATAAGAAGAGTTTTATAGAAACTGTATTGTGTTCTTTGTGTTTCTCTATGTAGAAAATTAAAGAAAAGGATGAAAAAAAAAGGGATCCCTTGGAAACAGCAGTAGCAGAACAAAGTTCAAGTAAAAGAAAAATCAAGAGAAAAAGAGTTGATTCTGAAAGTGAGTCAGATACAGAGAAAGAGTCAGTAGAACAGAACATGCCATCTCTGACTGTTACAATTACTCCAATTGAGAAAGCCGTGGCAGAGCAGGAAAATAGTGCCAAGGAAGAAGGAAAACCAGGAAAACTGAAGAAAATCAAAGAAGCCAAATCAAAGAAAGAGTCTGGGATTGAAAAAAGTGGTAGGTCATAGGCACAGTTCTGCTCCAAATAGTGTTTTCTGTTCATCTGAGTATCCATTTTGAGGGTACTGGGCCATCTCAGCACAAAACAAAACTTGTTTGAACTCTATATACACTGAGCAGGTGTATATTCCTAAAATTAGCTATTAATCTGTGGGTTATAAATCACCGTTAGTAAATGTAGCTCAGAAAAACTGTATGGAATAATGGTTTTATTAATATTTTCATGTATGCTTGTATCCTTTATTGATTTTTTTTTTTAAGTTCTGGTATTTGGCTTCCATTTTGAAGAGTAAATTTAAAGTTAAAATAATTTATTGATGTTATTCCATTTATATTCATATGTATGTTAGGTCAGATTCTTGGGTGGCACAACTATAGTTGTATTATTGTTGGATTTCTTTAATTGTATTACAGTTAGATTTAGGATAAGGTTTATGTTGAACTAGATTTATTGAACTGAGTAATGAGTTATGTTGTAGAAACTTGCTTGACTATTATTAAAACATTTGTATTGCTTATTTGACCCTCCCCCCCCCCCCCACTTCCCTCTTTCTTCTTCAGTTTGTATTTTTGGCAAAGTCAAAATTTCTTTTCAGCTTTTTGCTTTAATGCTCAAAGCTTACTAATCAGGGTATCAATGTAGCAAACAAGGTTATCCAACTTTGACATGTTCCAAAGTTCTCATTATCAAAAAAGCAGGTTTTTACTTGTATGCAAAAAAAGTGAGTAACATGATTTTTTGTTTTGCCATAGTTGTTTATCATAACCTGCTCCTCACCATAAGTGCTATACTAGCATCAGGTTTTAAGCTGTGAGCTAACATCAATTTGGTTAATCTTTATGTAGAATGCAGTTGAATTCGATATGGGTTAACTTTCATTGTGTATACAATCTATCTTTTTTTTTGTATAGTTATGTTATGTACAAATCTGTATGGTTTTAATTTCATTTTATTATCTTTTCTCCATACATTCACATAATTTTTTTAACTTTTATCTGATACAGATGTATGCTTGTTCTGTTGTTTTTTTTTTCTTTCTTTTTTTGTATGTATGTGTGTATTTTCTTGTGACATTTTCACACATGATGTGTGTTTGGACACTATTCATGTTTTAACCTATGTAAATAATGTATGTATCTATCGTATTACTGAGATGTTTCTTGTCATTTTCCTTTAACTTGCATGAATCTACACTTTTTCATTCTGCTGTTCTATGTAGTTTTATAAGTACATTCGTAATTTTACATGCATAGTTATCTTAAGATGTAACTGCATTAATTTGTATGTGTGTTTTTTCTTATTTTTATTTCAAATTTCAAAAATCTTTTCCTTGTAAATAAATGCATGAATATATTAACTGGTTTTTGTGTAAATATTTATTTCCGTTATGATACATATACTCCACTCACATATAGCTTTTCTGACTCGGAGTTGTCTTGTGTGCACACTTTATTTGCTCACCACTAGCCTTGAGGCTTTCACCTAAAGTTACAAGTTTCCACATGATATTGCTACATTATTGCATGCAAATGAGCATTTGACAACTCTCCTCCAATAAGAGTGTGACTTCTTTTTTTTACCTCACATGCTTTCATGATATTGGTGTTTGTTGTGAAAGTATTAAATTTGAACCTGCAAATTTTGTGACCTTTTATTTCCACATTATAAATTCACAAATGATTGTAACTTCCACTTGGTCTGGTGTGAGACAACAAAATGCTGTACATGCTAGACAAACAACCAAAATGACATCAAGTTCTTCTTTGTCTGTTGAGGAAGTGACAGCTATTGTGCAATGGGAGCTGTAGTCTTTCATGTGTCCTGGAACTTCTTCTGAGCCTGATATTCCTCCTCCTATTAATTCCATTTAAGAGGATTTTGACAGCCTTTTCCCACCATCTATCTTTGCCAAGTCTTCTACCAGTTCTGTTATGGATTTACCTAGGCCCGTTTTGTAATTTCTGGACATGATTTCTTAGGTATGTTACCTTTACTCTCTCTTTCTCTCTCCTGTCTCGTATTATTCTTTTCCTTCACTTCTTCAATCATCGTTGACTTCTGACTTTTATGTTCTTCCTCTGCCATGCTTCAAGTTTTATCTCGGGGGTCTTACTCTTTGTTTTTTCCTCTTTTTCTATGTTGTCTTATGTTCCGGTTCCCTTCCATGGGGTCTGATGCCTTTTAGTGGTGGTTTCAGACATGTTGGCCAAGGATGCTATCAAGCAGTTTTCTCATTCCTCTTTAGGATTTTACTCCATCCGATTAGGACATCCACAAACATACACTTTTCTTACTTCGGAAGTCGGCTCATTTTGGTTGGTGGGTGAGGCTGGAGAGGTCTTATATGGATAACCCCTCACAGTTTTGATGCACACTATCTCCATCATTTGGCTGTTTCTTTTTCATCTGGCTGTGGACAACCTCTGGATGCTATTCTCCATTCCTTTTACTGTCTATGATTAAGTAAGTTCTTTATCTTACTTTTACAGGGCCCTCTCATACCTTATGGGATCCCACTATGTGGCAAATGTTATGCCAGGGTATACTTAACCCAAATCTGTACAGTGTTGGGCTATCAAGGCTGTATGAGGTATCCTTGCAGTGCTCATTCTCTTAAAACAAGGCCTGATCCAGGCCTTACCCACCCGTGAACTATCATGAGTTAAGCAGGCAAGGGATCCTTTCCCACCCTCCATACCTAGTTTAGAACCTAGTGCTGGTTTGGTTGTTAAAATAGGGTTTTCATGATCACCCCCTTTTTTTCTTTTAGTGAAGCACAGGAGTGCTTGCACTGACCAGTTTCTAGCCATTGTGACCATTTTGACTCAGTAGTGTTCTGTCCATGTATTATAGTTCACCCCTCTGTCCAGCTTTCCCCCATCCTACCACTACCAGGATGTTAGGTTCCTGGTGTTGGATTGGTGCAGGACCAGCCAACACAAATCTTCACTCAATTACAGTTCAGTTGTTACATTTCTGTTCTGCCTTATTGGGGTTGAAGCAAAGATGGTAAGGACCCTTCTTCTACTGCATCATGAAAGACACATTTACTTTGTCACCTAGTTTTGGACTTGAGTTGATCCACAATGTACAGCCTGATGCACCATAGCCACGCTACACTTATAGCACTTCCATTAATGTGATACAGGTTCTGGGCATTGCTTGTATTTTTCACCCATCTTAGAAACACTTCCTTTCTTTATGGGCAAAGAGTGTACCCTAATACAGATGAGGTGCAGTCTCCCACAGTTGTGCCACTATACTGTTCCATTTTATCACTCCATGGTTTCCCTTTGGGCACTTTCCAAAGGGGAGTCATCTAGGTAAATTTTGCACCAGTCCCTACACCACTTCAGCATGGAATTCTAGCTGTATGTGAATGAAGGTTATGAATTGTATTGGGAGTTAACATGTTTCAACATGAACATGTATTGACAATAGATACTCACCTCTGTTCACACTTCCCATCCCTTCTCCCCACTTCTGGTGCATCTTTTTTTGCCTAATCTTGAAGTGATGATTGAACAATCAGTACAAAGGGAGTCAGCTGCACGAAGGAATGTGTATCTTATTGGTAAAGGGTTGTTGCATGTTCATTTACATGCAATAACATAGCTATATTATATGGAAATAAATGAGTTTAGGAGGGAGCCTCAAGGCTAGTGGTGAGTAAAAATGTTTGAATATAGAAAGCAGCACTGAATTGAAAATTCAATATGTTAACGGAGGTATCTGTCGGAAATACATTTTCAGTTTTGGAAAATGTTAATGGACTTTTTCCATGTACCTCCTTGTATGTTTATGTTCTGCAAATATGTAGTCCAAATGCATCTTTTGGATTTACATTTTATCTAGGTAATAAAACCTTTAAAATAAGAGTGTTTTCCAAAGGATTATGTAATTGGTCATTTTGCTCTTATAATTTTTTGCTATTAAGAAATAAGTGTACTATACTGTTACAACTTTAATTTTTAACTAACTTGTTTTTGTTGTTTTTTTTTCTTCTGCATTGTTTCTACTGATATTTTATCACTGGCTTACCATCAGTTTCTGAAGTGATTTTCTTCAAGGCTCGGACTTTTTTTTATTTGTATATTTGTTTGTCAGAGTATTGATAACATCAAAACATCTCAGAATTGCTTTGTATGATCAAACATTGTACCGGCTTTATTTTCATCTTCCAAAAAAAGACAAAATGGATCATTTGAGATTTCTGTTTATGTTATAAATTATAATTTTTTGTAGCTCAAAGGCAAAGTTTAATAATAAACTGACCTAGATGTTATTCAAAGGTTTTGAATGTAGTTCATAAATGTGGCTTATTTCATAAGGATGATAAATTGAAAGAATTTTTTTTATTAAACTAAGTAATTTGCTAAAAAAAAAATACTGTAACAAAGTATGAGCAGTTTATAATTAAAAGTAATATATTGCAATATTGTTTCATGGTTTCATTATTGGATCTGAAAAATTTAGATATTAAAAAACAAATTAACGTCATTCCAACCAGTCACTTGCTCGTTGAAACTTTTTCTACTTTAATATGCAAATTTTTCAACAATAGCTTGTTATTCTGTAACTACAAGGTAGAAACATGTTCTTAACAGACTTGGAGACAGTAGTCCTACTACTCTGCATACAAATTGTCATAATACATTGATTTTATTACAAACTTTATTTTCTTAGAGAATGGCTGTAAGCCTTATTATTTTATTTTCATGTACTTGTTTTACATATTTTGATGGATCACTTTGGTCCTGGTTGTGACAACATTTTACCATTTAACACTAATGTGCATACTGACTCTAGGACACTGACGTTCAAGATGCCCAGTAGAGTATAATAAAAATGAAATGGTTACTTCTGTGTTACACATCTGTCCATCTTGGTCAAACCAGGACAGACAACTTTCTCAGATGCATACTTACCATTATAAGGGTGAATCGAATATTTCCTTCAATTTCACGGAACGGGGTGTGATGGCCCGCAGGGGTGG